ACAACAGAAACTCTGAGTGGATGATTAATCTCAGTTCCAGACCAGAAACTCTCTGGTGCCACCACTGGTTCATGGTGTGTGCCGTGCGTTATGGTCCGACCACATAAAGCAACGGGAACCGGCAGCCTGTTGGATGTGAACAGTTCCTACAGCCTGCAGATTGTGGCTGACGGTGGGAAGAGACAAATTCCTCTCTCCTTCACTCACTTCCTTTCCTTCTGTCCTCTGCATCTCTCTCTCTCTCTCTCTCTCTCTCTCTCTCTCTCGCCGGCTTTCTATATTTAACCTCTGTTCTGTAGCTCACACAGGCCTCTCCTCCCTCCCTCCGTCCCTCCCTCCCTCCCTCCTCCAGCTGCTGGCTCAACGGCAGCAGTTTCTGTCCTTGTCAGAGTTCATGTGGACAAAACAGAGCAGCAATAAAACGCCCTCGGGCTGCTGCCATTATTTAACCGCTCAGACCGGACTGAGAGATTATGTGTCCTCTGACTGGATGGAAGTTTTGTCCCTTGGTCACTTTTCCTGATATGTAAGGAGAGGATGTTTTTTTTCTTTAGAGAGTCAAAGGTTAAAACATCATTCAGACTGACGTCATCTTCCTCCTCTCTTCTGGTTAGTCCTGTTCTCCTGCACTGTTTATAAAAGGGGATTGAATGAGCCTACGTATAAAAGACTGTTAAAAATATAACAGGTGTGGCATCAGACAACATCATGGAACATAAAACATGATGTCGGTACTAATAAACAGGGTGTGCTTTGGCAGTTGAGTGAGGAGCTGCTCCTCGTCCCCGGGACCAAAGAATCAGAGGATTGTAGCAACACGGACCTTTTCTCTGACCGCTGCACTAGCTGCATATGCTAACTGCACTAGCTGCTATTAGCTAGTTAGCGGTCCTATTATTTATTTTGCATCTATTGCAATTAATATAATAAAAAAATGTAATTCTTGTTTTTAGGGTTTTTGATGGCGTTTTTTCTTTGAGTGAATGCAGTGATCTTATGTATTGATTATATGAATTGTTTCGTTGATTGTTCAACGATAAACTGTCTGAGCTGACATTGTGCTCCTGTAACCAGTGACAGTGTTTTATCAGGCACAAGATAAAAATAGTACGCTGGCTTCGTCCCGGAGCTTCGTTCAGGCCGCTGCTGGATGTGTGAAGGACTTCCTGAAACTCGGCAGCGTTAAAGCGTGGACCGTCAGATTAGGGAGCGAGTACAAACTGTTGGAGCCAACCGCAGTGAGCCGACACACTTTACTGTCGGGCTGTTTATCTGCTGTGAAACTGACAGATCTTAAATGTTACCTGTGAGATGTATTTCTTCCATAGCGGCTCCTCCTCGCTGATGTCGAACTCATTCCAGCCGTGGTAGGCTCTCCTCCTGCTCACCTCCTCCTGGGTCAGACCCAACTGCAGGTCGGCCTGTCAGCAGGAAACAACACAACACAGGACGACGGCTGCTTTAAGAATTCACTGCAAACTTTATAAACTAATAAAAAGGAGGTCAGTATCAGGATCGATATACTGACACTGACACTTATACCCACCCTGTATATACAGTATGCATTACATTAATGCACTCCACTCTTCTGCAGTTCTGCTGTTTTCTTTTCTGAACTTTCTTATCTTTATCTATTTATATTTTGAAAATTCTTTCATTTTACTTGGCAATAAACATAATTTTGATTCTGATTAACTGCTGTGAAACGTCTGGAAAAGAGTTTAGGATGTGCAGATATGAACAGATAAGCTCTGAATTGTACCTGCAGGATACACGCTACTTCGTTGACAGGGAGTTCGCTGGCTTTTTTGGAGGTTAGTACTGGGACCATGGTCTCATCTTCACTGGAGGGTTGTCTCTCGGAAAGCTGCAACACAAACACACACAGAGAGGAAACGTTAGTGAACCGGAGACCGGACGCTCAGATTCTTCTCCACTGAGCTCCAGGACATTAATCTGTGGAGGAGGTCAGAGGAACAGTCGACATTCGGGGGAACATTAGCTCCGCTCTTTCAGATGACCTGTGTTCACTTTTCACACAGTTACAGCAGAGACGAGCAGCAGCCTGGAGCTCAACGACACAACAACATCAACAACAACAACAACAACAACAACAAAGACAAACACAGAAACCTCCTTCAGCACTTCATTCATATGGAAAAAGGACATGGAAGGTCTGCTGCAATCCAAAATCACTTTATATAATTATTTAATAGCAGATATGTTTTATGTAACAAAGGACTCGTCTCAACAAACCACGGTATTATTATCTCCTTCCACTGTATTAGGCGGGTAAACGCTCAAGGTTTCAAAACAACAGCTCCAAACCAGACGTGTGTGATGACACCGTCAGTATCAGATCAGCAGAATCCAGGAACTCAGCCTCAATATGGGACCGGCCTTTAATTCCTTTTGCACAGAACTCAGAAAGAAGGGAAATCAAACCGTTATTATTTAAACCGTTTCAACAACTTTCTGAGTAATGGAGACCAGATTCACGTGCAGCCACACTCAGGTAGGACATCCCCGTCTTTCAGCCACAGCTCTGTTGAAGAACTCGTTTCATTTGCTGCTGTAAAACTTCCTTAAATGTCTGTTTAGTGGAAAAAAATCAAAAAATAATCTTCATTTGAACACCTTCAATCGCAGCGTCTGACAGCTTCAGACAACCTCCACTGTGAACACTTCCACAATCAGATGCTTATTGTCGTGCGCGGTGATGATTATCTCCTTCCAGCGGGCAGAGGAGGGCCAGAGACCACAGCGGGAGAGGAAGCTGACAGCATCCTGGCAGCGTTTAAAGACAGCAGCTACGTCAAAAAAAAAAACACAACCCCACAAGGTTTAAAAACAGAACAAAGCCTCTTTTCACTTTCACTCACAATGAGGAGGAAAAAAAAAACTTTCATTACTTTGTCAGCTCATTTTTCATGTCACAAAGAGGAGCTATTTAAAAACACTTGGCTGAGGTTTACAGTGCAGTGTTACACTACTTCTTCAAAAACTGTGTTCTTGTTCTTCTTCTTGCTGTGCGCCAGTGTCGTGTTATAAAGCCTTTAAATGAGAGAAAGCATGAAGAAATAGTCTCTAAATTTCCAGGTTTTGCGGGACGCATGGGAATGCTGATATTGCAACCGATTCCCAACAGTCAAATCTAATCAAACCTCCACTTCAACAAACAAAATTCCTTACTAAATTGTAAAAACCTGAAAGATTTTGTTTTCCTGGAAGACACAAACACTGATCCAAACCTCAGCAAACACCCTTTCTATCTAAACATAACCTGCTCCAGAGGTTACACCTGACAGACTCAGAAACAGTTCATATTAATGCTTTTCCTTTTGGCCGGCACCCAAAACCTTGTCTGCTGAGCAGTGTGAGAATAAACCTGTATTTCTGCCCCGGAATGAATTCCAGGTATTTCTCATCTACTTTCAATGTTTTTACAGAGTCTGAAGAAGAGAAAGCTGCAACCAAACGCTCAGCGGTTTAACCCAAAGTCCGACCTGCTGCAGCCCAAACTGACGAGCTCTCAGTGGATTGTGGGTGACAGCGAGTTCCCGCCCAGCAGCTACATGTGATACATAAAGTGAATCAGCAGCAGTACTGACAGACGAAGACGTGATGTCTCCGAGGAGCCCCGACACTTTCTACCCACCACGTTCCACAGAAACACTCGCTAAAACGTGCAAATGTAAAACTTTCTTAAGAGCTGAACGTCACTATCGAAGAATTATTTCCCCTTAAAAATAAAACAGCAGAGTGCAGCAGAATCACAGGTTGCAAACACAAACATTTCCCTCCAGAAAACCAGCACAGGAACAACAGTTACTGAGTCACTGAAGACGAGCTGAAACAGCCAGAAAACACAGACAATCTGTTCTAGTTTAGTAATTATTATAATCTCATGTTAACTGAAAGAAGACACAAGGATGCACGAGCAGCCAAACAGGTTTCTCCTTCTGGTGCTGAGCTGCTTTCAGATCTTCTAATTATCTTCAGAAGGAAGAAATGTGGAAGCAGACGACCAATTTCTCATTTAAAAGATGTTTTAAATGAGATCTTTCTCGTCAGCTTCGATTAGAGCTGGATATAAGGGTTGCTTTCTGTGTGAACACGCCATTATTGATCTATAACCAGTCCCGAACGTTGGTCGGTTTTAATACCGAACTGTTGTTGCTGCAGCGGCTCTGGGTTCGACTGCCTCTCATCCTCTCTCTCTTCCCCCTTTCCTGTCAATCTTCAGCTGTCACCGTCCGTTAAAGGCAGAAAAATAAATAAATAAATAAATACATTCTGGTAAACCTTACAACTCCATTGACGTCACGTGTAGTTATGGCGGATATTAGCTCTACTACTACTTATCTACTACCCCTGAAAACTTGACATCAAACTGACTAAACCACTGACAGTATATAGAATAGGCAGCTCCACTCTGATAGTATTGAGTCTTATGGAGAAGTTATGAGCTCAGTAAACAGTTTCCTGATGATTTTCTGGTCTCAGTCTCTAGTTTCAGTCTTCTTCCATACAGCATGATGTTCATTTAGTAACTGATGGTCCCATTTAGAGTAAAACAGACCATAAAGCAGGGTATGCTTTAGGGCGGGGCTACCTTGTGATTGACAGCTCATTCTCAGTGAGTCCGTCCAGCTCAACCAAACTCAGATCAAACTGTCAAACAGTGCTGATCAGATATGGATCCAGATTCTGTTGTTGACTCTTTCTCTCCTCAGATCTGTTCACAAACACATTTTACTGTTTATCTGGAATACCAGATCCTGTGTGAGTTTGTTTCTCTGTTAAATGAAAGCAATCACCGTTCATCGGGTCGAGGCCGTTCTCACGTGTCCTCTTCTTCCTCCACTCAGCTCCACCACTAAGACAATAAGCCAGCCATTGACTGAGTAAGCATTAGCCAAGACTCAGTTAGCATTAGCTCAAACACAGACAGACATCCAGGATCTCCTCTCCGCTCAGTGGAGACTTCCTGTAACATCTCTTAAGCCTCTGTCAACCAAATCTTAGCAGCATCTCCGTCCCCCTGCTGCCTCTGTTCCTCTGAGCAAACGTCCTCAGCTTTACAGAGTTTCCCCAGTGGACAGAGAGGAGCGGCGAGGCTCTGGGAGACATACGAGAGGATTGTTTCTGATTAGGAGTGAATGGAGCTTAAAGGACTGACCCCCCCCCTTCCACCTGCTGGATCAAGACTCCTGGTTCGCCCTCTTCAGGACGGGAGGACCGCTTACACCTCCACAGAGACAACAGCCCTGTGTCCATCCAAATGTTCAAGCAATTCTACAAATTAAACCGCGAACGGATGCTTTATTTCCATCCACTACTGTCATGGGAATATTAGGAGTTGGTTCAGGAGATAAACAGAAACCAGAAGAAGAGGACTCGACAAGATGAGCTAATCAAAAGAGCGACGCTGGAAGCTCAAACGAGGATGGAAATATGACTGTGGTGTTTGATGTACTAATGTGAGGAAGGTCCCATTGTGGATGTATTATAGAGACAGGAGGAGACTGTGCCTCCTCTTTCACTTTATCATCTCAATGAAACGTAATGAACCGAATATTTACGACACAGAAAAAGCAACTTTTTTAACTGCCGGTGATTCAGAAGGTTAATTTTGGACGGTCTCTGTCTGTTCTGGGGTTAAACCTTAGAGAGCTGTTTGTTTTGATTTCCTACCATTATTATTCCTCTCCGTCTCAAGTTCCCGGCATGAATTCTAGTCCCAGTACCTCCCTGGAGATCGGATCACGTACTGGCCACGACTGGACGATATAAAAACGATCACCAGACTCGACCTGAGCGATGGTAGTAAGTACAGCGTCGCACGGAGCTCGTGTTTCCTGTTGCCTGACGGCCATTTTCCTGCCCGTCCCTTCAGCATCATTTGCCTTTCAAAACACAAACAAAGCAAATGCGGCGGACGGACAGATCTCAGGTGTTCGCCCTCATACTGTCCTCATTACAGCCTCTTCATTTCCCTGCAGTTCCAATTAGATCCAGGTCAAACTCTATTAACGGGCCGAGAGCCAGATCCCCGAAGGGACACTCATTTGTCCTCGAGTGCTCCGACTCTCACCTCGACGTCAGTCTCGAGAAGCCCGAGAGCAGCTGACCAGGATGTGTACTTTAAACGTGGACAGAGAGCAGCCGCTTTATGATCAGGATAACACACAACAACCAGGACTTTATGGCTCTGTGTTGGTTCTACGGGCATCAGAGTTTAGTCCCGTATGCTTCAGGCTCTCCGCACTCGTTCTGAGATCAGTGAATCCACTTGTGGAGGTGAAGTAAAGGACATTACATTCATCTAAACCAGGGATTCAACCAGAGTTATGAAATATTAAAATCATCTCAACCTTTCTCCCCCTCAGGTGTTTAAAAACTGCAGAAAAAGCAGGTAATGATCGATCCATCCTAGACAACCAGTACGTCTTAATCTCAACATTTTATTTATTTCTTTGGAGAAAACTAAATGAAACTGTTATTTTTAAAGTTTAGATTACTCTGTGAAACCAGATACATTCATTTAACTCCAAAAACTGTTTTTAAGTCAAATTAACTCAAATTCGTAAGTTAAAAAATATTCTTGATCAAGTAACTTTAGTTATTTTAGGTGAAACTGACTTAGTAAAAAAAAGTAAAAAGTACTGAATCGAGAATGTTTTAAAACTTACAAAACAATTTCATAATTTATTTTTCAATTCATCACATTACAGTTTTATGTAATGTCTAAATTTTAATGACACAAGCTGGATTAGAACAACAGGAAGAAAACACTGAATTGGTAAAAAATAAGTCTATTAAATCTGTATAATTGTTAACAATAATACAACAGAGAATCGTTTAAAAAGTTCCTAAAAACATCAGAAAAAAAAAAAAAAATCATCTCTGACAAATAATTCACAGGAAATAATCGAAGAAAAAGGCTCGAAATTCGTCCAAATCTCTGGTTTTCCGTAAACGTCCTGCAGTTATTGAGTCCACCGTTTATCAGCTTACATACATGTGTAATATAGTCAGTTTACTCATTGATAGATAAAAGCTCCCTGAAGGAAAAAGGTTGGGAAACAGGGCTGTAATGTTTTTGTAACGCATTTTCTTTTTGTTAAAATAAAGGTTATAAAAATGGTATCGATTGGTAATGAAATGAAGATATTAGTAACATTTAGTGTAGAGCTACGGCTCGAATTCACAGCGACCCTTTGCCCAGATGACTGCGGCTTATTTCTTTATTTATTGTTGTCACGGCGGCGTTACAAGCAGGAGAGACTGTGTGTGTTACTGCGGCACACATCAGCTCCTGAATCACTGATCCAGACTGTGGCTCTGGATTACTGCTTATACCACGACATCTACAATTTGTTGTAAAGGTGAATAAAAGTCGTTTTGAGCTGACCTCGATGACACGATCAGACAGGAGGCAGGGATCAAACCAGCAACCCTGCGAGCCGAGCTCAAGTTGAACTGACCGACTGCTGGAGAGAGTCTGACAGAGAGGAAGCCGTCGTATAACAGCGCGCTGAGTAACAGCAGCTCCAGTGAACAGTTAAACCAAACACTGAACTAAACACCTTTAAAAGTGGGTGAAGACTTTTCAGCTTCTCTTTCCCAGACATATTAAATAACACAATAAATTAATAAACACCCTGGATAATTGACGTCATATTCAAGTTCCTACGGACTCATTTATTCCTCAGGCCTGGGATTAAATGTGTGTTTAGGGTTAGCTTTGGCCTCAGATCGGCTACCACACACTATATAGAGTAAATAAAAACAGCCTCAAACTTAAATACAACATTAATATCAATCCAAAAACATCAGATATAGTAAGAAAACTGCACAAGGACTTCTTCACATCATCTCCGCTGTAATAGTTCAACCCACAGCTTCCAGCTCTGAAGCTCAACTCCTAGCTTAGCATAAACACAGTGAGATAACATTACAGTGACTTTTTGTTTATTCTGTGGCAGTAAACAACATCAACTATGTACACACTGTACGTCTGACTGAAGGAAGCAAACTAACCCGGCTCTACCCACCACAACATGTGACTGTCTGCCACTATAACAGGGAGTTGCTCGTCATTGTATAATATTTAATTAAGCTGAATCAATATCAGAGATCATCAATAACTTCAGGTATCAGCAGAGAAAAGAAGAGCTGAAACCAGAGACTGGCCTTTTTACTCATGTGGTTGATGTATATTCAACCAATCTCTGCAAACAGCACAATCTTAGAATTATATATAATATATATACTATATATATAATTATATATATATTATATATATTAATATATAATATATATATAATTCTTTTTCTTTTCATTCTCACTGGAACAAGTTGGTTTTTATGGATTATATAAATCAATGTGCAGCCGACTGGTGCGAGGTTAGTAAGGAGGGTCCAGAAGGATTGCAGGGAGGGAGGGAGAGACGCGAGCAGTGTTCAGTGGAAGGAATCAGCAGAGTGTGAAAGAGAAAGCGAGAGGATGCTGCTCCCACAAATAGGTTATCCCGCGGAGGAGGAGGAGGAGGAGGGAGGAGGAGGGAGGAGGAGGAGGAGGAGGAGGGAGGAGGGAGGGAGGAGGAGGAGGAGGAGGAGGAGGAGGAGGAGGAGGAGGAGGGAGGAGGAGGGAGGAGGGAGGGAGGAGGAGGAGGAGGAGGAGGGAGGAGGAGGGAGGGAGGGAGGAGGAGGAGGAGGAGGAGGGAGGAGGAGGAGGGAGGAGGGAGGGAGGAGGGAGGGAGGGAGGGAGGGAGGGAGGGAGGAGGAGGAGGAGGAGGAGGGAGGAGGAGGGAGGAGGGAGGGAGGGAGTGTGTTTAACTCCAGCACCTTCAAACAGACACACACTCAGGTTCTGGTTCTGGTTCTTATTATTCAGGATAAGCTGCTCATAGGGAGTCTGTGTCCCAACAACGTGTTACCATAGCGACAGACAATCAGGAATTAACAACGTGTTACCATAGCGACAGACAATCAGGAATAAACAACGTGTTAGCATAGCGACAGACAATCAGGAATTAACAACGTGTTACCATAGCGACAGACAATCAGGAATAAACAACGTGTTACCATAGCGACAGACAATCAGGAATAAACGTGTTAGCATAGCGACAGAGCCGACAGACAAACTCAGGAATAAAAGCCACAACTATCTGCCCGACGCTGAACTTTACAGTGCTAACAGACTGCTAACAGACTGCTAACTGACGGCTAACAGACTGCTAACAGACTGCTAACTGACGGCTAACAGACTGCTAACTGACTGCTAACTGACGGCTAACAGACTGCTAACTGACGGCTAACAGACTGCTAACTGACTGCTAACAGACTGCTAACTGACTGCTAACAGACTGCTAACTGACGGCTAACAGACTGCTAACTGACTGCTAACAGACTGCTAACTGACTGCTAACAGACGGCTAACTGACGGCTAACAGACTGCTAACTGACGGCTAACAGACTGCTAACTGACTGCTAACTGCTAACTGACGGCTAACAGACTGCTAACTGACGGCTAACAGAATGCTAACTGCTAACTGACGGCTAACAGACTGCTAACTGATGGCTAACTGACTGCTAACTGCTAACTGACGGCTAACAGACTGCTAACTGACTGCTAACTGCTAACTGACTGCTAACAGACTGCTAACAGACTGCTAACTGCTAACTGACTGCTAACTGACTGCTAACTGCTAACAGACTGCTAACTGACGGCTAACAGACTGCTAACTGACTGCTAACTGCTAACAGACTGCTAACTGACCGCTAACAGACTGCTAACTGCTAACAGACTGCTAACATTAAATAATTCATTATATAGTTCAGTAAGTTTTTTTTTTAAGATTATAAGAATTTTTCACGTTTATTTTTTCACGATTGTTTCTGAACGGAAATATGAATAAAATTACAAAAATAGCCTGTTTACATGTTTAATATCTAATTATGTGAAAAATCTGTAAATTTCCTTTTTTCTAATAAAAAGATTAAAAGATGTTTTGCAAATCTAAAATGTTTTCGCAGATATTTACTGTTTATTTAACAGATGTTAAACTGTTGAATTTAAGTTTAACGTGATTAATACATTTCTACAATTATGTCAAATTAGTGACAATGAAAAGTAAAAAATATATATTTTCTGTAATATTACATTATTTGACAGATATCTTGTATAATTATAGAAGTTTTCACAACAGAAACGTTGAATAAATGTTTGTTATCAGTGATTAAGCATTGGTAGCTGCCTGAATATTACTATTATTAAACTAATAATAAAATGCAGTGAAATAAAAGATGAGAAAGTTTTAAAGCAACTGTCAAACGCTTAAGTTTAGAAAGAAACTAATAATTATAATTTACTTTTCTTCTTTATAAAAACTTGAATCTTTTTGTTAGAGGCTAAAAATAATAATTAGTAAATTAAAAAACGTTTCCAAAAACTCCGTTAATAATAAAAAGTGAAAAACAGTTTTAATAATAATTTAACATTTTCAATTGAAACTATTAAATTTTCAAGAACCCAAATAATGAAAATCACATTAAAATCAAACTGTGAACATTTATTTAAATATAGTTTTTCTTTTTTAATTAGTCCCCGACTGAAGATCTGCCTCGTGAACTAGTGGTTAATAATAATAATAATATTGATTATAATGTGTATATGTGAACAACAGCCTGTTAAACAGCAGTAATGTAAGTGTAACATCACACAGTCTGCTTGTTCAATAACTTCACTGAAACTGATCCTGACTGATCGATACGATGGATGATTGATATCCTTTAACTGGTAGAGTTTAAGTACACGCTGGGTCCACACATATAGACATTCCCTGATTAAATGAACCAGGACACGGTCTCGTCAGAACCTCCTCCTCCTCCTCCTCCGTGGTTATAATGGAGTATTATAGTAAAGAGGAGCTGAGGCGTCTGTGCTGCTCTCTGGGTAAATATCACAGCTGGGTGGTCGGACAGTCTCAATCTGTTCTTCCTCCTGATGCTCCGACATTGAAAACACACCGACACGGAAACTGAATGTGGGTCGAACTGTAGAATCAGGATGTTTTCACTACAACAGCTAACTGTGGAGGACTGGATTCATTATACAGGAGCAACAATGTTCAGGCTCTATTTCATATTCAATAACAACAACAATAACAACAACAGCAGAGAACAGCTGATCAACTGTACGATGAACACAAACAGTGAACTCTACAACTGCAGGAGGTCTGTGGAAAACCATAGATTGGGATCAATTGTCTTACAAAAAAATGTGATAAATGTCCAGTTAGTGACTGTTAGAGACCCTTAGAGACCCTTAGAGACTGTTAGAGACCGTTAGAGACTGTTAGAGACCGTTAGAGACTGTTAGAGACCCTTAGTGACTGTTAGAGACCCTTAGTGACTGTTAGAGACCCTTAGAGACCCGTTAGAGACTGTTAGAGACCCTTAGAGACCGTTAGAGACCGTTAGAGACTGTTAGAGACCCTTAGAGACCGTTAGAGACCGTTAGAGACCGTTAGAGACCCTTAGAGACTGTTAGAGACCCTTAGAGACTGTTAGAGACCCTTAGAGACCCTTAGAGACTGTTAGAGACCGTTAGAGACTGTTAGAGACCGTTAGAGACTGTTAGAGACTGTTAGAGACCCTTAGAGACCCTTAGAGACCGTTAGAGACTGTTAGAGACCCTTAGAGACTGTTAGAGACCCTTAGTGACTGTTAGAGACTGTTAGAGACCCTTAGTGACTGTTAGAGACCGTTAGAGACTGTTAGAGACCCTTAGTGACTGTTAGAGACCCTTAGAGACCGTTAGAGACTGTTAGAGACCGTTAGAGACTGTTAGAGACCGTTAGAGACCGTTAGAGACCGTTAGAGACCGTTAGAGACCGTTAGAGACCGTTAGAGACTGTTAGAGACCCTTAGAGACTGTTAGAGACCGTTAGAGACCCTTAGAGACTGTTAGAGACCGTTAGAGACCGTTAGAGACTGTTAGAGACTGTTAGAGACCTTTAGAGACTGTTAGAGACCTTTAGAGACTGTTAGAGACTGTTAGAGACTTTTAGAGACTGTTAGAGACTGTTAGAGACCTTTAGAGACTGTTAGAGACCTTTAGGGTTAGAGACCGTTAGAGACCTTTAGAGACCTTTAGGGTTAGAGACCTTTAGGGTTAGAGACTGTTAGAGACCTTTAGAGACTGTTAGAGACCTTTAGGGTTAGAGACTGTTAGAGACCTTTAGAGACTGTTAGAGACCTTTAGGGTAAGAGACCGTTAGAGACTGTTAGAGACCTTTAGAGACCTTTAGGGTTAGAGTAGAGGTGGGCGATATATATCGTTTGCGATAATATCGTCATTGTTGTTTTGACGATGTGCAAATTTCCATTATCGAGTATTTAAATTACTTCGACAAAAACAATGAAACGCCCGCGGAAACTCCTCACATCCATTAATACACGGAGCAGCAGCGCTCTCTACAGCATGACAGGATTCAGTCACATGACTAGTGGGCCTGCGTGATCACATGACGTGATCACGTGACCTCTCGCTAGCATCCTCCTTGCAACAGTTTAGCAGCGCGTTGCGATGGTAGAGAGACAATGCAAACACCTCCAGTCCCTGAAGCTACCGGTACTTCAGATGATTTAGTGCCGAGACGTGGGTCCTATGGGCTTCAGCGTTCAGAGCGCTAAGCGCCTTCAGCGGTAAAAAGATGTCAGCGGAGACGGTTTTTTTTAGCGCAGCGCTCAGAGCGCCTCAAGTTGAAATCTGTTCAACCTTTAACACCGCTGGGCGCTCGGATAATGAGTTTATGAGCTCTCTCAGCGCTGTAAACGCGTTTGGTGGACACAAGTGCAGCTCAGACAATTCTAATCACATTTTAAAGGATATCGACTGATTATCGTTATCGCCAAAATCCCAAAACATATTGAGATATTATTTTTTGCCCATATCGCCCACCCCTAGGTTAGAGACTGTTAGAGACCTTTAGGGTTAGAGACCTTTAGGGTTAGAGACCTTTAGGGTTAGGGACCTTTAGGGTTAGGGACCTTTAGGGTTAGAGACCGTTAATTGTGTCTAGGGACCTTTAGGCTTTCAGAGACCGTTAGGGTTAGATGACTTTTAGGGTTAGAGACCTTTAGGGTTAGAGACTTTTAGGGTTAGAGACCTTTAGGGTTAGGGACCTCATTAAAGGGATTACTTTATTCTCTACAACCACCAGCTGGTGGACCACCGACGGTCTGTGGACCCCGGTCTGACCCAGAGCTCAGGACAGTATTCCCTACTTTAATTCTCATTTTAAATACATAAGTAGCTTTTATTTATAGATGTTCAAAAAAAATGTAAATGACAAATGAGGTGAAAAATATGAAGCCCATTAGCAGAGAGCAGCATCTTTACCTTTATATCAGGAAATATATTAATAATAAAGATAACTGAGGCGGTTATGGCTCGTCGCTAACGTCGGGTGTGGGAAAGTGTGATTGGTCACCATGCCACCGAAAAATACTAAAAACCTGGACAACAACCAGCTAAGGGGCCGCAAACCCATTTTAACGGCGTAATTTGTTTATCGCGAGATTAACGTTGTTTTTGGTCGAGCACACTTTGTAGTTTTTTAATATAATTTTTCTACAGGAAACTCACTTGGGACAAAACGACATTAGCAGGGTTTAAAAAAAGGTGGCCAGGCCACTTCTCATGCGGGGGCTGAATAATTCATAAATCTGCCCCCCTTTCAGTTAAAAAACAAATATATAGACCCATCAGGGAGATATGTCATACATACCATAATATCCACCCAGATCCTAATGGGGATGATCCCTCCTTTTACCAATCATCCTACCCTGGCCAACACATAACTGCTGGTGATGTCCACTGTGTACTGGACCCGACACAGGATCGATCTAACCCATCAACAAACAAGAAAGATTATTAAAAGATTCTTGGTAGATTTAAATTTAACTGATACTTTAGAAAAGATAGAAAAACGACTATTCATGTTTTTCAAATACATTTAAAACAAACTCTATTATAGACTACTTCTTAATCTGTAATGGTCTATTATCTAAAGTTGAACCATGCTCCGATCTCCTTACTAATGCCACCTGCATTAATATAATATCATTTCCTCACCTCCCAGATTTCATTCTAGTTGGCTCCAGGACTCTGATTATGGGAATCTTCTGGATGGAAAAATAGATAAATACTTCTCTTTAAACACAAATCAAACTAGTGCTTCAATAAAATGGGAGGGATAATAAGCTACACAAAATACAAATCCAAGGTATATTACACACAATTAAACAAAAAGTAAGGGACTTAGAACAACAGCTTTATCACAGTGGTGCTCCAGACAAACAACAGGAACTTCTCCAACTGAAATCCAAACACAATGAATTAACTGTGTGGTTAAAACAATCATATTATGACCAGGGAGATTTATTCCATTACATTAGAAGACGGGAAAGAACAAACACTGCCTTTAAGAGTTTATATCAATATCCAGATAGCTCACACAAGGAGAGTTTTAGACCAGCTCAGATTCCCAACCCTAACTGAGGAGGCAGAGTATTGAAGAACTATCGGATGTGTTAAAGAGTATGAGTAGTGGAAAGGCGTCCGGGCCTGATAAACCCATAGAAATATATAAATATATATATAAATTGTTACCACATCTCCTTGAGATGTTTCATGAATCCTTTGAAAAGGGAATACTACCTCCATCCTGAAGATCAGCAGTAATTTCCCTTTTGTTAAAACCATGAAAATCCTCCTCAGAGAGAACATCGTACCGTCCGATATCGTTAATGTCGCGTGACACCAAAATACTACGCAAGGCGCTGGCGAGGCGGATAGAAACTATCATTCCCAACCTGATCACTAATGATCAATATGTGTTTGTACAGGGCAGACAGACGTTTCATAACACACGCAGGCTGTAGAATATCTTCTGTAAAAGGACCGTGCAACTGTCTTCAATGGATT